TATTCAGAAAAGTCAAACATGACCAGTATAGGCTTTTAAGGCCTACAAGTAAAAAAACTACATTTTCAGCGAAAATGACGTCACTTCCGGTGTCTGTCAGGAAATGGCGGACATGCGATAGTTCGCGCTGATGTCTGTTTCACTGTGGGAAGTGTTACGAACAGCTGATCAGATCGGCAAAGCGTGTTTCTGGAATATTATGTTTTTGTTGCTGCAAGCGCTTTTTATGCAATTTTTGCAAAGCTATATGTGGAAGGAAACCGTGACCGAGGACAAGCTGATGGCATCAGATGTAAGTAGAACTCCTCCGGTTTCATATGCAAAACAAATTATTGCGCTAGCTTACACGGTTCAGGTTCTACAGGGATTTAAAAATCGTTACACAAAACGGAGTGTGCTGCTCTGACCGGCTTTAAAGGGTTAACAATGACTTTAAAAAATAATATAAAATAGTGCAACACCACTGAAGTTTATTTTTTTACCTCTCTTTTCAACCAACGGCAGTCACTCTCCTCTCCAAATAACTTCTGCTTAGCTTTCCGAGCTTCCCTCGGGTCCTCTTAATCAGCGGTCTCCAACCTTTTTTGCGCCACGGACCGGTTTATGCGCGACAATATTTTCACGGACCGGCCTTTAAGGTGTCGTGGATAAATGAGGGAGGGGCTAATAATCGGCTCAGTCATTTTTAATGATCGTTGAAAGCCCAGATCGTAATCGTGATTAAAATTCGATTAATTGAGCAGCCCTAGCCGTTTTTACTGTTTTGATGGCTTGTGATGATTTAAATGGAGTGATGTGAGCTGAAGCTCTGAAGGAGCCAGAAAAACAGAAGAGCTGAGAAAAGTGTGAGCTACGGCACAGCCTGTAAGGCAGATCATCTGCATTAAAGCAACAACCTGGAACCTGGCCCCAATGAACAGATTTACACGCTGAACATGTGCATGTGAGAGAGGATTGCTGACACATTTATTCCACTATGAGATCCTCCGGAGAGCTCAAAGTGACCAAAGCAACCCACAGCATGACCAACAGCTCTCAGCCACAGCTTCAGGAGGAAAACGATGCGCACGAAGACAGCGGACTCAAGTGGTTAAAGAAGAAGCTCTGAGCAGCTGTGAGGTCAGTAAGCCTCTGCTAGCCCCGTTTATGGAAACTGGGCTAAAGGTGACGCTGCCTCAGCTACTCCAGAGCAGAAACACAAAACGGCACATTATGAGGAGGTACGCTCGCCCGGCCTGAATCTGGAGGTCAGTGCTGATTATCTGCAGGAATATGTGACACCACTGAATGACCGTGAGGATCAGAGCACCTGAACACTCAGGTGAGGCTAACGCAGAATTAAACAAATCACCAAAATCTCATCTGTGATGCTGAATCATTCATTACAGAGAGACGGCTCACCTGCAGAGCGCGCGCACACACACACACACACACACACACGCACAGTCGTTGAAGGTGGCCAGGCTCTGAGGCGGATTCCTGATGAACCTCGGAGGGATTTGAGAGGAAGAAACCAAATTCCCAACACACACACACAACAGGAAACACGATCCACACCACCATCAGCAGGTCTGCTCTCATTGGCTCGGAACCTGCCCACTTACCGCTCATTTCCTGTGCCCTGAGCTCGGTCTGGCAGGTGTTCCAATAGCCACACCGAGTTACTGCAGTGTATATTAGCAGCATGGTAAACACACACATCGGTTCTGGACACACGTTGCATCTAAAAATGCCGCTGTGTGTGTGTGTGTGTGTGTGTGTGTGTGTGTGTGTGTGTGTGTGTGTGTGTGTGTGTGTGTGTGACAGGTGAGTCACTGCAGGGCTGCAAGCTGAACACACTGCACTGCAGCACTGCACATCACGACTCCCACAGACAGATAAAAGAAGGAGAATGGCCAGGAGAAATGGAGAAAACCTTCAGAGATGTAGATCCTGTCTGCTTCTGGCTGTGATGCCTGCATCCATTGCTGCCCTGGAACTTCAAAGCTCACCTCTGTCAGAGTCCACCTGCAGACTGATGTGGTTTATGTCAGGCAGGCCGAGCATCACAGGAGGAACACAGCTGCTCTGGTTCTCATGATCTCCACCCTTCATCACTGCTCCTGTCAGCTATTTGTGCACTGACGCCACACACGCACTCAGAGGCATGGTGGCGATGATGAAATGAACACGATAAACAGCACAGAGCGATTTTCAGCTTCATCACAGCTCTCATGTGGCTTTGGGCCCAGAGGAGGCCCAGAGTGCTTCACAGAGTGTGTGTGGGGCCTTTTTAAACTCAGCTGTGAGCAGCCACTGATCCTTTTCATGATGCTAACCACACAATTGAAAGCCTTCACACCAAGAATGGTCCAAACTTCAGCTGAGAGACTGTCTGAGCTGCTTCCTGCACAGCACCAGGTCAGCCACGAGTGTGCTGCTGGTTGGAGTGGATACCTGAGAGGACGTCCTGACGCTCAGCGTCCTCGAGCTTCAAATATCTGGAGTCTGAGCGCAAACACAGCGGTGAGGCTGGTGGGGCACGTCTGCTCCAACCCTAAACTGAGGACATTCACACTTTTCTGCATGCTTCAGGATTTATTTCAGGAGCATAGAACGGTTTTTACGACGCCCACAAACAGGTGCAGCCACTTCAGTGCCCCGTGACCTCAAGACACATGCAGTGAAGACGGGAACGTCTGCCTATGTGTCCCCCCGTTTCCTGACATCAGTCGACACACATGACTCTCTGTGGCTGCAAGGTCACAGTCGCCGAGCCGAGCTAATCGTTGACCAGCTACAGTGAAACAAGGTGAGTGTCCTCGAGCCGGCCCTGCCCAGAGTCCAGCTGCAGCCAGCTGCTCATTTTACACACCCGATCCAGCCGGCAGCCTGATGGCGCTCAGCACCGACTCACCCGCAGCCCCTGCGATTGGGGTTGGCTGGCTGGCCCGGGCGTCCACAGTTCATTTAAGCTCTGAACAAGCTCCTTGTTGCGCTCTCCCAGCACACGTCAGCTGACTCCGTTTGATCGAAAATCACATTTTGCAGTGAACGTTTCTCCAGCTGAGAGCGACCTGTCTGCACGCCGCTCGCTGGGAGGAAACACTGAAGGACGGCATCAGCCCTGACCTTTCAAACACTGAGCCGTCTGCTGCTTTGCTCAACAAGAACTCAAAGCAAACTGGGGAAATGCTGTGGAGCAGTCAGAGTTAGTGAAACAGCACACACAGAGGCTGCAGCAGGCAGGGAGCAGGTCTAAGACAGGCGACAGGAAAAGGAAATGACAAGCTTCAGTATGAAAAGAGAAGAAGAGAAGCACGAGGAGGTGGAGGAGGGGAGGAGGCGGTGCTGGCACTCGCCTACGTCACAGTGACGCCCCCTCCCCCCCTCCCTTCCTCCACTACAGCTCACATGACTGCAGCGGGCCTGTTCTGTAACTCCAGTCACGAGGAGAGAGTAGTATTACAATGAGCAGCCGGCAGGGGCGAGAGCCATCCACACACAGTGAGAGAGAGAGAGCAGCCTGCTCCAATAACCTCAGTGAATATTAACATGTTCATGCACCTCAGAGCACCGGCACCTTATCACTCTGTACAGGACCCACGTAGGGATAGCAACAACCACCCGATTGGTTCATCTGCTCTTTATCTCCAAGGACTCTGCAGCCCAGCCTCGCAGGACACACGTCCACATCACTGTCCCCGCCGCTCCACGCCAAGCTTCGACTCCATTTTGTTTCAGAGCAAACTTGTTCATGTTCTCCTCGCACGTTTCACTCTCAGTTCAGCCGCACACGCTCAGAAGCACCAGAGACGTGTGGCTGCTCACAACAACACGGCTCAAGACTGCAGAGTGTGTGTACCAGCTGGAGACACACACACGTAAACATGTCATACACACAGCACGGACACTCACACACCAGTACACACATGTGTGGGATTATATTTACTATGATGTGTGTGAGGGTTGCCCCAGGCTGTGTGTTTGTAACGTACTATACTGTGTGTGTGTGTGTGTGTGTGTGTGTGTAACAGTGTGTGTTATAGCGTGTGTAACAGTGTGTGTGTGTGTGTGTGTAACAGTGTGTGTGTGTGTAACAGTGTGTGTTATAGCGTGTGTAACAGTGTGTGTGTGTGTGTGTGTGTGTGTAACAATGTGTGTTATAGCGTGTGTAACAGTGTGTGTGTGTGTGTTACAGTGTGTGTAAAAGTACATGTAAGTGTATAAATAGTCCACAGTCTCCCCTGTATACACACACACACTCACAGTAACCTGCTTAAGCTGCCAATCAGCTGTGACAAATCCCCCCACCGCCCCAGCCTCGCGGTCAGCCTGATCATCTCCACTCACACGCGCACACGCACAAGGACAGACGGAATAGTTTGCGCGTGTGCCCCGCACGCAGCAGATGGAGATCAGAGCCGATAAGTTCCGGTGTCGCCTGAGAATTTTTCATTTCAGGGGCGTGCACGAGCAGAGTTCCCTCCGCGCACAGCACGAGGCTGCTCGGATACACGCGGGTCCACTCCACGCATCCTCACCCTGATTCACCGGTGACCTCTCCCCCTCACACACACACACCGGTTTAACGGGGGAAAAAACACCACGTGACCCAAACAAACGTTTTGTAACGCGCGGTTACGCAAAGCCTTACAAAACGCTCTGAGTTCACCTGAGCGGAGCCGCGCGCCCTTCCTCGCTCACAGCACCGGATTCGGCACCGGGACCGGCAGACCGAAGCGGGACGCGCACAGACAGAGGTCCCCAAACACGGACACTATCTTGCACACACACACCAGTTTTAATCCCGAATATGACGAACAGTTCACGCGTGAGGACACAACACGTGTCCGGGTCTGCGTGCCGACAAGAAAACTTCCTCCAACACTGCGTCAAAGTCACACACACACACACACACACCCGGACCCACGCGCATGCAGACTGGGTCGGGATGCCGCCGTTGGCTCCCTTCACGCGCCCCGGTCCGCAGAGCTGCATGTGCACGGACGGTCTCTCACCTGGCTGCGCGAGCTCTCTGTCAGGTAACTGAAGACGAAGGACGACAGCTCCTCATCCAGCAGCGCCGCGCAGTCCGCCATCTTCCACTGAATGAGGAGCCGCGGAGCCGGGCGGAGAGTATAGCGGGAGGAGGAGCAGCGGCGCGGGAGCGCGCCTGCAGGGGGCGCCTCTGCTCACCCGCACGTCACACGTGCGCGGACCGCGAGCGTCAGGATCGGCGTACCTGAGCGCCCACACAGGGACAAACATGAGGCCCGGGACCCAGAGGCGGCCCCCGGGGGGCTTAACTTGTGTGGCGTCATTTGCCCGGACCCCGCTGCTCTCTCTCTCTCCCTCACACACACACACACACACACACACACACACACACACACACACACACACACACACTCTCTCTCTTCTCTCTCTCTCTCTCCTTTTCCCTCACACACACATACACACTCTCCTTCTCACACATACGGTAACACACCTGCTCCTCACTCTGGACTCTTCATAACTTTGTTTTGAAAAGCACAGGTGTGGACAGCATCCTGTGGCGGTTGCCAGGCAACTGTAAAGCCAACTTCTGTCAGTCACTGAGTCAGCCTGCTGCCATTGGCCGAAGGCATTCAGGTGAGGGCCTCGGCGCTGTGCCCCGGTGCCAGTGATGCTGCAGGCTGGTGTTACCGACACTTTTAATAATGCCAGCTTCTGAGCCGCGGTGTCACTTTTACAGGATGAATTACCATCAATTTACAAATCCTGAAAACATCTGAATGAGCAGCAATAACAAAACAGCTTTTAGCATTCCTGAATGTAGACGTGCCTGTTGTGTCAGCTTAGCGGACAGAAACAACATATCGATCCAATACCAATAATTGTATCAGTACTATCGATATTTGGATCAATCCCACCTCCATCTTTGGGTGGAGAAGAGGGGCAGGTTTGCAGGTGCTGTGAAATACTGAAACTTCATGTTTTGTCTGATAAACTGATCAGCAGGGCCAATATCAGCCTGCAGTATTTACTTTAGTCTTTCTTTGTTGTAATTGAGATTATGTTGATTAATTATTCTTAAATGAGTAAATCAGCCAGGTGGGCTCAGCGTCGGTCAGTCAGGCCGGGCAGGTGAGCCTGCTTTGCTCCCAGCTCACTGGATACAGCAGACTTCATGATTCCTGGGAACACGGCGGGTTTGAGCCCGCGCTGGAATGGTAGCGCTGGGCAGGATGGCTGCTGTGTTTGCTTCGGATTACTCCTCACCCCCCACCCGACCCTGTGGCTTGTCACGTGTTCCATTATGTTGTGCTGTGGACATTTATGTGCTTTTTTGTGCAGAGGAGTTTTTTTGTTTCCTGTTCTCATGCTGTCCTCCTAGGAGCCAAGCATGAGTAGAGGTCTCTTTTCCTCTTGTACTTTCCAATTGTAGTGTATATTTCAGTGTTTGTTTTCTGTAACGCTACCGATCTCCGACCTGTATCCCCATGTGATGTCTGTGTTGTGTGTGTAAGGTTGGGGGGGCGGGGTCCTATTTCACTGCAGGGCAACCTGCATGTGGCGAATAAAGCCTCGATTGATTGATTGATTGATTGATTGATTGATTGATTGATTGATTGATTTCTCTGTGTGAGATCGAAGCAGCGGACTAAGTGTGAGCTGTACACAGAGCCGGCTGTGTCTGACCTGAGTCATCCCACAGGGTCAGCTCCACGTCAGCACATACTCACTTTACCCCAAGTTATACCAGAAAGATGCTTTAACGTCCCCAACATATACACTCACTGGCTACTTTATTAGGTATACCTGTTTATCTGATTATTACACAAATACCTACTCAGCCAATCACACGGCAAGACGAGCAGCTGAAGTTCAGACCGAGCATCAGAATGATGAAGAAAGAATGTGGCATGGTTGTTGGTCTGAGTATTTCACACACTGATCTCCAACCATCTCTGAGCTCAGAGGAAATAACCAGCCAGCAGCAGCTCTGTGGGAGGAAATGACTCGCTAAGGTCAGAGGAGGATGGACAGACTGCTTAGATAGGAAGGCAGCAATAACTCCAATAACCACTCGCTACAACCAAAGTCTGCAGAAAAGCATCTCTGAACCTTGAAGCAGATGGGCTCCAGCAGCAGACGACCACACCAGTGTCACTGCTGTCAGTAAGAAGAGGACACTGAGTCTATGGCTAACACAGACTCTCAAACCCGGACAACAGAAACTAGAGAAATGTTTCCTGGTCTGACAAGTTTAAAGCATGGATCCATCCTGCCTGTGTCCATGTTCAGGCTGCTACTGGTGGGATTTTCAGTAAAAAAAGCAGGTCCAAAGTGGTATTAGCAGGTGTACACAATAAAGTGTCTGGTGAGTGTATCTCGTGCTCCGGTGCAAAGTTTCTAATGATGAGTCAGTATATAAACAGTAACCCTGTGAGGCTGCTTCAAACACTCGTTTATCACAGCGTTTCTCCTCTCTGTGTGATGTCACAAATTGAGGATCTCACTAACGCAGCACCAGGTGTGAACAGAAACAGCTCGTTTCAGACCGAGGACTAACGGGGGAGGATACAGAAGGCTTATTCTGAATTGTGAATCATGCAAAGCTGCCCTGATAGAGCCTAGGAACAAAGAGTGGATTGGAAATGAGCAGAATAAATCAACTTTAATGTGACTGTGTGTTTCATGTACTGTAACATTATCAGATTATTGTGAAAATGCATTCCAGGATACGTTGCCCATAATATTACATAACGATCCATTATTGCTGTATGATGCAATCCAAAGCTTCATTGACATACAGACTGCAGAATGTGCTGTGACTGCTGTGAGTTTGTGCAATGGCAGCTGTTCCAGATAGAAAGCAGCGGGAAAATGGAGACGCACACAGTGATTGTAATGTGATTACTGCAGAGCCAAGTTTTTGCTCTCATTTTGCCGTCGGTCACAGAAACGTGCTCCTCGATCCAAGTCTTATTTTGTAGTTGTGACTGAGGATGTTTGGGACAGCAGCACGTCTGTGGGAAGCCTCCGCGCCACCTGTTTGAGGGTCTGAATGTTCATGTTTCTCAACAGTTCTGGTCTTTTCTGTGCTTTAATGCATGAACGCGGGGCTGAGTTATGCATCATGTCAGTGAGGAGTGCACAAGCACGAGGCAGAGACCGAGTGTTAGAAGTATGCAAAGCATGCATACAGCGAGTGTCATAAAAGAGAGGAAGTGACTGCAACAAAAAGGGAAACATGTCTGAATAATTCTGCATATCTTATTTATGTGTGTGTCACATGAGCCACTTCAGCAAATACCAGTGAAGATGGATTAAACAGACTGATCCATCCAGGCCTGCAGGTTTCTTTGGTTCTGTGTTTCCAGCAGGTCACTGGTTTAAACACCCCACCATCAGAAACATCAAACTATGGAAAAGACCCCGTCAATTCCCAGTAGAGGGAGATGGTGCTAGGTAGGGCACGCTCTAAGCAAACCGCCAACCAACATCACCAGGTAGGCTCTCAGGTGGAAGGCAAGTGAAAGAGAGGCTACCCAAGAAACACCCGGCAACAAGACCTCGAAGCAGAAGCAAAAACGATGGGCTACACCTGGGCCCAACTGAAAAGAATGGCCCACACCCCGTGAGGGGGGACGGGTAGTAGTACTGGTTTAAACATCTGTCTGATCCACTGAAGAAGAGGCCAATGCCTGAAAAGAATCGTGAGTGATGCTCAGACAATGTTTAAGGAACGTTTCCAAAGTCTGTAGCAGCACCTGAAGCTCTGATTTCATATCCTGCGTTTGCTTCTGGTCCAGTCTCCACAGCTTTACAAACACTTGCAGGCTTTACCTGAGTAAAACACCCACAGTTCATAGCGCCGGGTCATGTTTGATGGAGCTGCTCTCTGTGAGGCTACGCCAGCATTTCATTTTCAAAGGTAATGATTACTGAGCAGGCACAGAGCATCTGTTACCAAGGTAATAGACACACCTAACCTGCTCTGGTGCAGACCAATCAGATCTCTGGACGGTAGCGCCACATTTCCTGGAGGATGGGTTGGGGATGCTCAGAGGGTCACAGGATTGGATTTTGTGTGAGGAGCATCATTAAAAATAGCAAATTTTATAGAGACGTATTTCTGCTCTATTTTTCTGTGATCCTCACTCAGCCCTGAGCCCAAACTCAGACACAACTTTAAAGCCTCCCCAGGCTGCAGGACAGAGTCAGCTCCTGTGCTCTGATGCTGATCACTGTTAAGCTCTGTCTCTGAGTGGGGCACAGCTCAGCTCTCATCTGTTTAACCTCCTCAGATTTTTCTTTCTTCCTCTGTCCATCAGCCGCTCTGCTGCCAGAAGACCTGTACAGGTTTCTGATTGGCAGACTGAGGGAGGTGACGACCACCTGATGATACTGTTAGGATAAGTGACGCCTGATATTTTTACCAGAGAAAACTAACACAACCCCAGGTGACGAACAGTTTCTGTCCCTGTGTCCTGAACGGCCGGCCTGTTTCCTCCTGCAGGAGTAAAACTATTTTAGTTATTGCACCCGCTGTGCCAACTGGTAAAAATAGTGTTTGCCATAATTTACAGAGCTGCCATGTCTGCACGCTGTTTCTGTTGGTGGTGTCCTCAGAAGAATCAGCCAGCGTGACTGAGATACCAACAAACTTTCCAAGCTGCATTCCATTGCTGTCCTCTTCTTATGTTACTGCATTTTATAATCATATTTCAGGCCTTCAGCCAGCTCAGGGAACAGACCGAGATACATCATAACAGAACAAGAGTGTACGCTCCAAACTACACCATTTTTAAAAGTGCTGATTCTCTGGGGAAATATGTCGCAACCATAAACAGCCCGCAGCTCCTTTCGGATTTTGTTATCCTTGAGTACAAACAGTGAAGACTGAATAAGACAAAAGGAGCCAGAGAAACAAGGAAGAGCTGTTGAGGGTTAGAAAACAGAAGCCCGTGGAGCCAGGCAACGACTCGGGACGGCAGAGGGGCTGTAAGGGCCCGACTGGGCCCCAGTGAGCTGCACAGGCACTAAACACAATCCTGTAAGCAGAGACGTGTGCGTATGTGTGTGTGTGCGTTAACATTTGAGTATTCCTCATGGAGCGCTCACTGATCCAAAGAAAGGCTGATCTGTAAGGTCAAACTGTCACCAGCGGGTCTGTGCTGTGGC